GACTAGATGTGATGACAGTTGTGGTTCCCTTGCAAAACGGAACAACCAGTGAGGAGATTAAAGTTGTTACATTTTACATCGGAAATCTTAAAAGAAGTCTCAACATACAACCAGAATAATCTTTTTTCATATCATCGCATTGAGCATTTGCAAAGTTTTGTAAATAATGCAATGTCAACTGTAGTTGAACTGATTATGTTGAAGCCTGGAACACTATACTTGGTTTTGAATGAGGAATGTAGACACCCAGGATGAGGATCTGCTTTTGCAGAGTAAGATGGTTTTTCGGGGGGGTAATATAAGAGCCCATAATATTTAACTGAGGGTTTTGAACCACATTCACTTGTTATTCTTGGACATGGAGAAATTAATCAATATTTGTTCTAAAGCAACTTGGACCAGTTGTTTTCTGCATTTCTGTATGATGTTACTCAGCACCCCAATGTGTTAAATACGAATGTGCAAGCAAGAAAAAGCCTGTGCATGAACTGCGTCAGAAACATGACCATTGTTTTCCCAAACATGCAGAAAATGATCACCTGATGCTGCCGTCCCCAACGTGCTGAAGGTTAGTGATAGAATTATGGTTCCATCTCTTTTTACAAATGGTGACAAACTTGCTTCTGTTAAAAAATAACGATTTATGTATTTCTCACTTTTTCCACTATTTTGTCCACCCCCTGTGGATCAGCACATGCCAAATTTAATTAAATCAAGAAATGACCAAATAAAGGAATCTTCTTCATCTTGCTCTGTAATTTTGAAGCCATTTGAATGCAGGTCATCCACGTCAAAAAATCACAAAATGCCAGGAATCACCATACTAAAATAACGATTTTTTCTCTAGAATGCAAGGGATTTTTATTTTTTTTCAAAATGGTATTTGTGGTCAACATATATTGATCTATTTGGCAGGCAGCCTTAGCCCAATCGACTAACATCCATACCCATTCATGCACCTGAAACTGCTGGGGGTAAAGTCCTCTGCTCTCAGGTATAACAACAGTGTCTCACCTGAGATTTGAACCTCTCCTGTTCTGAGTCCAAAACACCAACCACTCCTCCATACTCCTGCCAAAAACGCACATCACTGTGACATAGAGAAGTGACTCATCACTCACCGTTTGACAATTTTCTGGATGTGATTTTCACTGAATACTTATGATTATATTTTCTCTAGTGCCTTGAACGTGACTGTTCACTCAGAACAGCACAGTGTTTAAAAGGTTCGTTCTGAATAAAGTGTCAGTGAATTCTTGCACAGAGGACGAAAACAAAGGATCTTGTTCAAGGAGGACGTTTGATTGAGGATTGAGTAAAGCCTTCAATTGATTTCATCAACTGGTTTGTTAAAGCTACAGTGACAAATATGAATATATGAACAAAGATTTTAACTGCTGTACAAAGCGCTGACTAGCCAGATGAAAAAAAAAATCTTTAGAAGCTACACTGGATTGGAAGTACAAGAAAGTAAGACAGCAGGTTGTCTCTAGGCTGCCTAGAGCCTGTAAATCAATGTGAAAACATGACTTATCTATTTTGTTTGATTTCGTCATGGATAGAAAATGTAATTAAGATTACTCCGACATGGGTTAATGTTGACAAACTATTCCATTTAAGACTAACATTTTCAAGAACCAAATGACCCAATCCATTCATGCGATAGTCCTCTATAAAATAAAATCTGCACAATCTTTTTAAAAGCTGGGCTATTTCAGGTTTTTCCAATCACATTTGCAAAAGGTCTTTTGACATTTCTGCACCTATTAAATTGTAACTCTGTATCTTCCCTATAAATACTACACATTACTCATTACTACACATTAAAGATTGTTTTCTTTATTTCTTAAAAAAGATTAATAAGTGCTCCTCCTCTCAAGGATCAACACATTATAGACACACCTTATCAACGGCCTTCACGTTCACAATCAACAAGTATATGTTGATTAAGAACCATACTATTCAAATAACTGAACAGATAAGTGAGAAAAATAAACTTACATCACCTCTCAGCATTAAGACAACTGTTATTTTTATTACTACTATTACAACAACTATTTGTACAATTTCACAGGACAGCCTCAGCGTAGGGTAGGGAGCTTACAAGACTTCAAACAACACACAAGCATACAAATTCATCTCTTACGGACATATTCACACCTTTCAGTACAAGTGGTAATGTTATTACAAAAGACATCACCACTAAGAGGATGTCTGCTATACTGTACATACTGACTGCTGTTGTCGACTGAAAGCGTGTAATAAATTCTCTTGAAAACATCCAAACAATTTCAGTATTACCATAGCCATAAAACATTATTTATGACCAAAGCAAACTGCAGAGCTTTGGTAAAAGAGGCTGCTTCCTGCACTAAAAATGTGGTACATTTTATACAGTTTACTTTTGCTGGAGAACAGGAAGTAATAAAAACTGAAGTCTACTCCGAATCTCCAACATCCAAAACGTCTGCAATCCAATGCAAAAAATAATATACAGAGTCTCCACACATCTTTTATTAAGCATTGCTGTTTGAGACAAAGCTCAGACTGAACCCTCTTTTGAAATGTTCATAACCTAGGTGCGAAACAGCTCCATGCTAATCGTACTGATTTCTCTTACACTGCCAGCATGCGGATCCACATTTGAATCAACCGATTTGGTCTCATTTTGCTGTTTTATAGAGAAACAAACTGAACATATGACTAATGTAAAATTCAGTTACAAAACCCAAAGGGTAATCTTAAAAAGCAGTTAAAAATGAAGGTTGTCTTTTTGAAATACAAGCCAACTATTTCACCTAATAAATTAATCATTTGCAAACAACCTCAAAACTGCATTACTTTCAGCAATTAAAATCCTTTCATGCCTTCAGGGCAAAGGAATATAAATTCAGAAAGCAAAAAGGAGGAAGGCACAGTTTTAAACCATCTAAAATTTCTTTATCAAGAACTTCAAATAATAAGAACTAGAAACTCTGGAAACCCAGTATTTAGGGAATTTGTCCTTTACTTCTAAATAACTACTAGGTGACATTTTCTGTTCTGCTTTGGCTTCGTGAAGGAAGATTAAATACTTTACATGGTATTTAATATAATGTATCGATAATTATTCACCACTGCTATGACAGTCCGACTTGAACACAAGAGCATCTAACTGCGAGATCCCTCGTACTGGAAAGTTCAATGGGTTTGCTTGATCCCAGTCTAAATGCACCCGTTTATGCAAGGTGCCTCAGTTGACAGTGCCTGTCGGAGTGGAGACCCTACCATAAAGGACAGGGATATGTCTGTCCTCCGTGTTAGACCTGTGTGGAGACAGATCTGAGGAGGGGTATAAAGACATTTCTCAGGTGTTGAAAGCTCCCAGGATCACAGCCAAGGCCATCATTACCACCCAGACTCTTCTCAGAGCAGGCCATCACCCCAGACCCAGCGACCACCCCTGACAGAGCTACACGGCTCCACAGCCAGGGAGGAGAACCTCTGCAGAGGGAAGGACTGGCAGACTCGTCACTCCATCACAGGACACACACACACTCTCACACCCTGGACAGGACACCCGTCCATCACAGGACACACACACACTCTCACACCCTGGACAGGACACC